CTCCTGGGTTCAGGCAATTCTCCTGCCTCAGCCTCCTGAGTAGCTGGGACTACAGACACGCGCCACCATGCCTAGCTAATTTTTTGTATTTTTAGTAGAGACGGGGTTTCACCATATTGACCAGGATGGTCTCGATCTCTTGACCTCGTGATCCACCCGCCTCGGCCTCCCAAAGTGCTGGGATTAAAGGCTTGAGCCACCGCGCCCGGCCTAATTAGAGGTTTTTATGTTGCCCAGGCTGGCCTCGAACACATAGCCTCGCCTCCTCAAGCATCAGAACAACAGGCCGGAGCCACTGAGGCTCACTTCTTTTCTTTTCTTCTTTTTTTTTTTTTTTTTTTGATAGTGCTTTTTTTAAAAAATCTATTTTATTTCATTTTAGGTTTTGAGGCACATGTGAAGAATATGCAAGATTTTTTAATATGAGGTTCTGTCTGGTTTTCTCAGCCCAGCTGTCTTCAGTGTGCAGCACCTGCTGAAGGTGTTAGCCATGAGAGCTTTTGAGCGAGGAGTCACTTGGGAGACACAGGTTCTAGTTTCTGTTTCAATGCTGACTCTTCATGTGACTTTGGGCAAGTCATTCAAGATCTCGGTTTTTCATCTTTTCTTCTGAAATGGGGAGAACTTGACAGAGATCTTGTAAGCCTAAAATGGAAGACAACTGAGAAGGCTTGCATTTTGGGGAAGAAAAGTGTGAGAGCCACCACAAGGATTTGGGTTGATACGCCTTCTCTGGTTGGGCACAGTGGCTCATGCCTGTAATCCCAGCACTTTAGGAGGCGGAGGCATGCAGATCATTTGAGGTTGGGAGTTTAAGACCAGCCTGGCCAACATGGTGAAACCCCATCTCTACTAAAAATACAAAAATTAGCTGGGTGTGATGGCTCACACCTGTAATCCCAGCACTTTGGGAGGCTGAAGTGAGTGGATCACCTGAGGTCGGGAGTTCAAGACCAGCCTGACCAACATGGAGAAACCCCGTCTCTACTAAAAATGCAAAATTAGCTGGGCCTGGTGGTGAATACCTGTAATCCCAGCTTCTTGGGAGGCTGGGGCAGCACAATTGCTTGAATCCAGGGGGCAGAGGTTGCAGTGAGCTGAGATTGCACCATTGCACTTCAGCCTGGGTGACAGAGCAAGACTCCATC